AATTTTGGCCGTTTCAACCAACGTTTCCGAACCAAAAACCTACAAAGTTGGAATAATTATTTTATTGATAAAAAATCAAGTTGAATGCATTCTTGACCTCAAGAAAAATCCTACAATGTAAATAATTGCATCTAAAAGTCCTAACACTGATTCTGGTACCAGACGAGTCTCCTATCACCATTTTTAACCTGGCTCTATTCATTCAAAACGATTTTTATGATCACGATAAATTTCTGCGTCTTTGACATGTGATCATCTTCAACTCTGTTAAAGATAAAACTTTTATTTTGACTCTTGGGATATGCAGATGAAACTTGTTTTTAATATTTTCAAACTGAATGGACTGTACTATTGTTTTTCGGGCTCCAAGTTGAGATGAACAGGTTATTTATATTTTTTATCAGGCCGATCATTACCAAATATCAATGTAGGATAATTTAATTTTACACATCGAAACGGAAATATGCACAAAACAAGTCGTAAATCATATACAGCTCCCTTTATTTTCATCATTGGATCATCAGTCCCGAAGCTAGGTTTTAACCGGTTAAGCTAGGTTTTTAGCCGGGTTTTAACAGTCAAACAGTTTACACATCCAAAAACAAAAATCAACTTCAGGATTGTAATTATAGTTTAACCCATAACTGCCCCCCCCCCCAACAGAGCAGTCGCAGTCATAAAGTTGAGACTTTAACGCTGTCGGCAAGAACAAGATGGACTATGTTTGCCGACTTGGACTTCTGTTTTTCTTAAAAATCGAAGCTATTTCACAATAGATTAAGATATACAGATATTCAATTTTGATATTTTCCTTAAGGCCTGCGGAGTGACGGGCCTGCAGTTTGGCCATCTAACATCATCCTGGCCTGCTTAGTTTTGCTGTTTTAACTGGGTTTTTTCGCTGAAATAGGCCGAAACGGGCCAGATATATAAAAACAGCGAGACTAGGCGGATGTTCGGAAATGATCAGGCAGTTCAGCACACTGCAGACTGAAGGAAATCACTTGTGCTTCGTGTTTGTTTTACCAATTTTTTAAAAGTATAAATCTAATCTTCTTTGTTTAATAATTTGCGTTACGACTTCTATAATTAGAATTATTTTTAAAATTCATCATTGGAGATGGCCTAAAGCCGAATTGCGTCTGGTAGGCCAAATTCGAATTTACCTGAATTGAATGAAAAAATTCAGAAAAAATTTCTTATGATAAACCATGTTAACAACTATATTTTTAAAAATAAAGCCAAATCACCTTAACAGGAAGGCTTATATGACCGTCGCCCCTTCGGGTGTGTCAGCCGATTCACAATACTTGCTCTCTTCAAATAATCAATGATTATTCCGGGAGGAATTCAGCAACACTTAACAACCACGGCCCACTCAATAGTTTTAGCTTAAAAACTCTTGAAAGAAAGTAATAGACAATTAAAAAAAAATTAAACTTTTACTGTTCTGTTGTATGACTTGTTAAAAAATATTTAATTTAAGAAAATCTACTTTTTATTACCTGACATGTCTTAGGTTATAGTTATAGTAACATTCTATAAATTCCTTGGTAAGGTTATTTTTTTTTTCCGCCGTCTGTACGGATTTTTTGAAATTTCTCCGAAAACTCGAGCAGCCAGCAGGCTCTGCGCTCAGGTACAAGCGTATCACTCTCTCTTTCTCTCTCACACACTCTCTCTCTCTTTCTCTCTCTCTCTCTCATTAATTACCTCGTTTGACAGTCCCACCTGAAAGGACGGTTTACCTGACGGGTTTTTTTTATATTTTGAAATATCGCCGTGCCCGAGTGCCACACTGTTGTTAGCAGCTGTGCCCGTTTATGGGGACATCATTTTTCTCAGAATCGCGCCGGGGCTTAAAAAACAAACGATCATCCGCTATTGTTTAAATTTAATTGATTAACTGATAAGATCTTACTTGTATAAACGCTAACGTAATGTTAGGAAACTTTAAAACCGTGAAATCATTGCATATACCGGGAGATATTACGGATCGGCATAACGACCTCGGTCGAATATGAAAAATGGATCATAATTTTAAAATTGAAGTTATTCAATATGACTCAATTAAACTAAGACAGATTTATTTATAAATATAGAAAACCTAAGTTAAATTAACTAGTGTGAAATTTCCTTTTGGAGTCTGCAGGGTGGATAACCGGTTGATTATTTTGGTCTGCCCATCGAACCTGGTTTGTTTTGTCAGTGGTTTTAGGCTTTGCGCCATCTTCATTGGTGGCTTTTTCGTATAGAAATATTATAAAAAATTAATATAACTAAAATATAATAATTCCTTATTAAAGTAATCCAGGGGATGAACCTCCATTTTGGCCATTTCCTATCATTTTGGTTCGCCCTTTCTAGCTGTTTTGGTTATTCCAGGTTTTGGACTTTTCCTCATCTTTATTATTGATTTTTTGTGTTCAAATTGTATAACAAAAACAACAAGAATAAAACTAAAATGTAAGATTTCCCCTTTAGGTATGCGAGAAGTAAGAACCTGTATTTTGGTCTTTCCTATAATTTTGATCTATCTATTCTAGCTGTTATGGTTTGTCAGCGTGTTTATGCTTCTCGCCATCTTCATTTGTGTTTTTATTTTGACATTGGTTTATAAAAACATTTTTAAAAAAAGTATGCGATTTCACAATAAGGTAGCGGCGGGAAGAACAGACAGTTTCGTCGTTTTCAATAATTTTGGTGTTCCAACAAAATCTGGTTGGGTCTATCGCCTGTTTTGGGCTTCTCGCCATCTTCAGTAGAGTTATTGTGTGTTGAAATTTGTAAAAGAAAGGCCTGGTAGGTGATGAATCTGATCGTTTCCTATCACCCTGCTCCACCTAATTTCACTTTTTGTCAGTTAAACCCACTGAATATGGCGAGAAATCAAAAATGAGTCGCCAAAATGATCAGAAACGACCCATGAATTATATACTGCTTTATTAAGCTTCGGAAATTCAATTAGGCTATCGATCTTGTCATCATAAATTTATTTTATTCATAAAATAAATTTACTTGGCTTAGAATAAGCCATACCCGGTTGACGGACATAACAAGAGTGAACGTCTTTGGCTCTAAGTAGAGACCCGATGTAAGAATCGTTCTTCAACATTGAAACTTTTTTGGAAGAAAGAGATTCTTCTGTTTATAGCTTTTGCGTTGAATCTATTTTGATAATGTATTTATTAGCGTGAAAAGATCCACGTGTGTAATATGAGTACTATTATATTTGTAGTAATAATGGACAAAAATTATTATATATTAACACGAGTTTGTTTGGCATGTGGCATCATCATAAGGGCATATTAATTAAGATTATTTAGGACGCAGATGTAACAGTGACCATTGCAGACAGCGTAGATCTACCTATAAAGAAGTATCAATTTATTTGGTAATTTTTTTATGACCCATGGAACTTGACCGTTAATCAAGCTACATCTACATTTAAATTTCAAGCTAAATCTAAAGGAAGGTGGTAGGTGAGAGAATAGAAATTTCAAGGGTAAGAAACTACAAAATGGGGATCAGTTTGACGTTTGGGACTGTCGTTTAATGATCATTTGTAATAAAAAATTGCCAACTTTGGTATGTAAGCAGTAAATAGAGTTTACGTATGTTCAACCAGGAACAGTTTGAGCATTGTTCAAGGTATTAGAGTGCGTTTGTCGTTCCATCCTGTGCAGTTTGGGGGTTTCACAGATATAAGGTAGTTGAATAAACTTCAGAGGTCTTTTCTTTTCCTGACTCTACACCGAAACCTATCCAGTTAAAGGTCGGTTTATATCCTCCTGTTTCGTTTTACTGTAAATAATTTCATTTGTTTTCATCGACTTGGCATACCTCTATCCAAAATCACAACCTCAGTGATGATAAACGCGTTTTTTTAATGGATAAAGCTGATGCATGGAGATTGTGCTTTCACGTTTGTATGAAAATACTAATGATTGGCTAGGATTATCTTCAAACCTACGAATTAGATATTTTCAACATGAAAATTACTTAAAAGATGCCTCCTCGTCCACAAGTTTCCTCCTTTATAAAGGTTTAAACCATTCATTTATGCGTCTTTAATCCCATGAATGAGCAGCCAAATCTTTTTCGCGATGATCCTAAATACGATTCGAGCAAATATTTTTAAAATGTGCACCGGGGAAATTTAATGCTCAATTTTATCGGAGTTCTGTCTTTTAAGCCTAAGTGGCACAGATTTTTCTTGTTTTTCATTTTATGCAGATCCTGAATAATAAAAAAAACTAAAATCCTTGCTTGTCAAGTGCGTGAATTTTGGAAATACTCTTCCAATCAAAAAGGTTTATAGAACTTAGAAGTATTTTTATTTATTTTTTATGTTCACTTTGCTGTCAGTTAACGGATCCGATTGTTAGCCTTTAGCACTATAATTTTGTAACTTCTTCATATTTTTTACATAATATATAATAGGAGAAATCAGATAAAGTATCCTATTTACCTATCTATCTATCTGCCTAATTGTTGGGAATAATGGAAAAAGTACAGGCTTTATTGAAGACTTGGTCACCAGCGGTTGCAATCAACATCCAGCGGCACTTAACAAAATGGTATTTTTATTTTTTGCTTAAAACGATACAAGTTGGGGAGAAAAGTCAATGTTTTTCCGATCTGCAATAGTCTGATTATCACTTTTCTCATTTCCAGATTGTTAAAGATTCGCTGAATTTTAAACTGTGTATTCCGAGTGATTACATTATTTTAGAACACGGTTTTGAATATAATTAAGATATGAAGAGTCGGCAGGCCAAATTATAATCAATTTGGAGCAATGTGTTGTTCTGTTTGAAAGAAGAAAGGGGTTAAAGAGCTGGTGGACTGTCTGGCAGTTGAAAACGGCGGTTCAACTATTTTGCTCCCGGAGAAGCCGCTCAAGAAAAAATGTTCTTTTTAAACTGAATTGTTTATTAAGATTTATTAGATTTTTGATCGCGGAATCGATCGAAATCATATTGAATGTATGTTCTTACCTGTGTGTGTCCGTTTGTGAATTTTGAGGTTCTCGGATCTCGCGAAAACTTTTCCGCAGCCGGGGAACGGGCATGGGAACGGCTTCTCCCCGGTGTGCACCCTGATGTGGTTGACGAGTTTGTACTTGGCTTTGAACGGCCTCCCGTTCCTGGGACAGCTCTGCCAGAAGCAGGTGTGCGAGGTGCACTCGGGCCCGCCGACGTGCTCCACCGTCAGGTGTGTTACGATCTCGTGCATGGACGAGAAGGCTTTCCCGCAGTTCTTCCCGGCTTCCATCCAGAGGCACGTGAGATTCGCCGGCTGGCGCATATACCTGAAGAATGCGCCGTGTTGGGCCGGCGGGTACTGCAGCTCCTGGTGGTATCCCTCGCGCGGGTAGACGATCCCGTGGCCGTACGGGTCGTACATCTCCGGGTGCTGGTATTCCGCCTCCCTTTTGAGTAGATATCCTTGGTGGTGGTAGCCCGGCGGCTGTTGGTAGTGGTGTTCTTGCGGCACCATCTGGCCCTTGAGCCCGAGGAGGCCGTGCTGATGATGGTGGTGGCCCCCATCCACGAATGCGTTCAACATGACTCTTCGCACATCACACTTGTCACCTGCTGGGCATATCACTCGCGCTTCGCGTACGACCTACGAAATTGGACACGATCCGCTTCGAGAGGGCTTCTCGGCGGTACTGCGAGCTGAAGGACTTCGCCGGAGGAAGGGGGTTGCGGCAAACACGCCCCTTCGCTTTTCCATTGGGTCCAATCCTCACGAGCGGCCAATCCCTTTCGCCTCCTCTCCAGAGACCCTCCCTCCGAACGCACCCTCGCCACTCACTCCTCCCGTTTCACACTAATTATCCGAGAATTTAACCCTTCCGTCAGCCTGTATGTATAACACCTCGACAAACGGTTTACAAAACAGATTTCTTTTCTATTGTTCTCCAACTGGCCATTTTTCAGACATTCCATCCACTCCTTTGGCCTAATTCAAGAAATGTGCTCAAACCATTACAATCTGTTTCAATGGTCATAACCTAGTTTTTCTAGTAGAGTTTTGTTACTCATAAGGCCAACGAGAAATATGTTGTGGTTTGTTTATGGAAATCAAGTTCTCAGCACGCCTGAAGATACTCTTCGTAATTTTCAACTCTTAGGGCAGGTTAATGCTAGATTTTACCCTCAAGCTCACCCATTTATATTATATAAATACTAACATTTCATAAAACTGAATTTGATTAATGAATAACGTAGAAATAAATATATAGCTCTGGCTTTCTTTTTTACTTTTATTTCAATCTTTTGCAAATAAACTGCCCACCAAAAAAACCGACAACCTGGTTTTTGCACACAAAAAATGGCCAACTTTGAAAATGTATATAAGGGAGAGAGAGTGTTATTATGTTATTTTCTGGGGTGTGGCTTTCTCTGATGGTCCTGGGCGGCCTAGCACTGCTGTTTAGGCGTTATTTTTGTTAGTCAAATGAAAAATTTCCGGGTTATCGTTGTCTCATTGGGACTTTATGTCCAGGTCATTTCCGATCGTTCTAGTCCGCCTGGCCCCGCTATTTAGGCTTCTTTTGTTACGATAACTAAAAGGTAAAAATGTGTTTTTACGTTTGTTTTATTTTTTATGTTTTTCTTGAACAAATCGATCCATTTTTTGTTATTTGTCGCAATCGATTATTATGATTCTGTAAACTTCGTAGCGTTTAAGTTTATTGTTTTGTATGTTCATGAAATTGTTTTGCATTTTTTTTCTACGAAGATTTCTTTTCTTTGTGTCTGTCTTTCATTTTTCTGCCGATTCTCTACGCGCCCTGTCCATATTTTGTCTCAGGAATTTTTCAATTGTGTTTACTGTTTTAAGTATTGTTTTCATTGCCTAATTCGGGAAATAAATTATGTACATCTCTTTGGTCAGTTGTATTGCCTTTTCTGGTGGTTTGTTTTAAGTCTGTTGTTTGTTGCTTCCGCGTTTTTATTGTTATTTATCATTGGATAATGGCACTATTTTTAGTCTGTCCGCCATATTTACTTTTACAACGGTGTCGGTCGTATTTAGTTATTGCATAAATTAATTTAATTTTACGTTTATATCTCTGTTAATGTGGTGTATTCAGTTTATTCGTCTGTAGTATATTTTGTCTTTGTGACTTGTCTATTGTTCCGTCATTTGATTTTTATGTACATATATCTTCACTGCCCATCAAAAAAAGAAAAACCGACCACCTGGTTTTTTTACGAAAAAATTGCCAACTTTGAAAATGCACATTTTCTCAGCATTTTAAGACACAGTGAACACGTACAATTTGTGAAAACATGAGGGTTCAAAACTTACACGTTCTTAAAAATCATGAAAGTGATCGGTTTTTCCATGAGCTTGTAAAAAATCACATTTTTGCCCAAAAATCACGAATAACTCGAAAATAGTTGAGAAATAGGGCAAAGTAGAAGATGACCAATTGAAAGTTTACTAAAACTTCCTGTCGATTGCTAAAGGGCGCCGCTCCAGGACGATTTCTTGGTTCCACAGGTCAATTTGAAGATTCGTAAAACTTACAAAAACGTTCCCGAATTTTTGAATTTACTGATGAATGACTGAAAGTAGGAAAAGATTTAAAAAAGTAATCTCGTTCAGCGTAAAATTTTCTAACAAAATGAGACCTAAAGTAGATCTGTGACTTGAAAGGTTGAGAAAATACGCATTTCCAAAATTGGTCGGATTTTTAATGGACAGTGTATTAAAATAAGTTTCCGATAGGCCGGATCCGCCCAGTCTCGCGGTTCTGAGGTGTTGTTCATTTTTGTATGTCTTGTTTACTAATTCACTGATGTTTTACTGTGTGCTATATTTTTTACTGTTTGTAGTTCGTGTTTGTGTTTTTCATTGGTTGTTGGCGCTGTTCTTTGTCTTTCTGTAATGTTTAATTTTACAACCATGTTTGTCATGTTTTGTATATAATTTATTAAATAAATCCATCATTATATAATTTTTTGTCTGCGTATGTGGCCTATTTAGCTACAATTTCGAGACTCAAGTTTAATTTGTAAGATCTTATCAGGATTTTTGCGCGGTGGTGAAAGTTTGATTTCGATCGTTCTTCTGACGATTAAAATGCTCCGCCCAATCTCGATGCTTTTGTATGTGAGTTTTGTTTATTTATGTTGTGGTCGTTGTCGTGTGCCATGATTTTTCATTGTTTAAGATCGAGTTTCTATTTCTCAGTGATTTGTAGTCTGCCGTGTCATTGACGTGTCATCAATGTATATATTTGAATAGTAATGAATTGAAAAGTAATCTTGTTCAGCGTGAAATTTTCTGAAAAATGAGACCTAGCGCAGATTTGTGACCTAAAAGGCTGAGAAAATATGCATTTCCAAATGTTTGCTATTTTTCGTGCAAAAACCAGCTGGTCGGTTTTTTTTATTTTTTATGCGCGGTGTATATTCAAACGTTTCCATTTACTATTGGGTTGTCCGGAAAATAAGCACGTTTATGATTATGAAATAACAACAATTAAATAAATGATTTTACACATTTTTAAACCTTTTACGTTTCAGTGGTCAATTGGCCAAGTTACTTATTTCAATAAATTATTCTCTCTATGTAAGATCTTGGTTGAGATAAAAAAAGTCAGTGTCACGAGCGGGATTCGAACCCACGACCTTCGGCTAAATACGCCGCTGCTCTACACTTGAGCTATCGTGACTTCGATCTTTTTTTTTAAAACTTGATAACTTAATCGATATTGAACATTAACACAAACATCAGATTCACTTATGACACCTATAACTCTAGATTACCTATCTAAAGCGATAACTCCAAAACAAGTATCACAAGAAATACAACAGTTTACAAAAAAACAAAACGAAACACTCCTCATCATCTTATCGTCCTGTTAGTTGGTACCCGTTCCTTCTAAATTATTATAAAAATTAATTTACAAAAGATTTATCTCTATTGCTACTTCAAACAACTCCACAGAGTTACAGATTTCATTATTTCATGTCTAGAGCAGACACTGTAAGCGACTGGAGTGTTTCTAGATGTTGTTCAGGCCTTCGACAAAGTATGGCATGAGGGATTATTGTTCAAACTAAAATTATTTTTACCCCAGGCCTACAAACTGATGATACACAATCATGCTTTAAGGAGAGATTTTTCGCAGTAAACCAGGGATGGGAGACTTCTGAGATAAAGGAAGTGCTTGCAGGTATGCCACAAGGGTCAATACTCGCTCCGCTGTTGTACAGAATTTTTACTTCGGCATGACCACAACTGAGAATGCCCCTTATCGCCAAATACGCAGATGACACCGCCTTATTAATAAGTCATCCCTCTTCTACACAAGGTTTACTTATGTTACAAAACCCACAATTGAAAAATGGAGCAATTTTTCGTAAAATAAAGTTTAACCACTCAAAATCACAATATCATCTTTATATTCCTCTGTAAGACTTCTCCTAACATATACTTATTCCTCAATCCGACAAAATTAACTAGGTACGATTTACATTTGATAGAAGACTAACATGGAATCCATACACACGATTAAAAAGCATACATTTAACGAACGATTTAAATAGTGTTGCCAATGGGTGGCCATCTCAACCCCACCTTTTGAGTTTCCCTCCTTTTTGCCATTTTTCAAATGTCGTGTAATCGGATTGGATTCTCGGCGACAAATGAAATGGCCACGGAGAGCTTTAGTGAAGTATACTTCATTTTAATTCATTAAATTCACTAATTTCGTGGTCCGCTTGACCAATTGGGGTTGAGATGAGAAGTTAGTGTCCGAGTGGATCGAGGTCACGATAGCTCAAGTGGTAGAGCAGCGGCGTATCTAGCCGAAGATCGTGGGTTCGAATCCCGCTCGTGCCACTGACTATTTTATCTCAACTAAAAACCTTAATTAATTGTAATATATTAATTGGTCGAGCGGACCACGAAATTAGTGAATTTTTCTATAACGCTCATAATGTCACAATCATAAATTAAAATGTTAAAAATTCATCAACCTCCATCACTCTCAATATACTTCTAAGAACGCGATAGCAACTTCTCGAGACCCTCTGAATGGAAACGTGAGTCTTTATTATTGCAAAAAGTCTGTAAACGCATTTACTAACACGTCTTGGTCATTACAATTATTATGTTGTAAAACGTTGTCCAGGTGTTATAAAAAATGGTAGTCGGTAAGCGAGAGGCATGGAGGAGAATAGGGATTATAACCAAGATCCAAATTTTCGTGTTGTCGGGCCGAGCGTGTCATGCAACAGAATCGGCTTTTCCGATTGACCCAAGATGGCTTCAATAATGCCAATTTCTGGTGAATTGTTTCAATTTGAGAACAATTCGGCATTGAGTATTTCGTCAGGATTCACTGAACTAAATCAGCCCAAATAAAGCCCAACATCACGTTTTTTTGATGAGCTGGAGTCTTTGGATAATGTGGTGCCACTTCTCCTATGTCGAGCTGTCCAGAAAGTCTGCTGTTATCGAAAAGAATCAACTTTTTATGACAAGTAACAATTCTATCCGGAAAAGTTTGGTTTCGGCAAAAATTTTTTTGAAAACTTCATAACGATGATTTTTTTTTTGGTGGTCGTTTAATAGAGGAACCCAACTTTCGAGCTTTTTCTTCCAATTGTCTTAAGGTGGTCGTCGACGATTTGCT